TTTTCAATTAAGCACATCTCGTAAGATGTTATGCAAACTTGAAAATCCTTAGGCATTAACTTATCCGCGATTATCTGTGCCTTTATTAATGAAAAATTTTTAGCGATACATCATAAGTCACAAAATATGAATATTGGATAAGTACCCTTTCTTCCTTGTTCCCAAGCAGGACTACTATACGAAAGTCTGGCATCCACATATTAAATTCCTTCGACCAATTATTCAATGTTGATTTAGGCGCAACAACGAGATGTGGTCCAGATATGTTACGAAAATAACGAAGATAGCCTAGAAAAGAAATAGTTTGTAAGGTTTTACCGAGGCCCTATTTTAACAAAAAAATTAGAAAATTTTGGAAGCTTAACCGGAAATCAAATAAACATATGATTTAACATACCATTTCGTCTGCTAAGATCACGTTAATCCCATTTTCAAAAAGTGATATCATCCAGTTTAGCCCTTGAAGCTGATAATCTCGCATAGTACCATTCTTAATATCTTCAAATAATAAATGTAATATGTGAATATGTATATATTGGATAGAATATAATTTATTTAACAGAAACTCACAATTCGGTGATTCATTGAAAACCCGAGTAACATCCGCCGACTCGTCCGCCTCATCATTAAGTAATTCCTGTTAAATTCCCAAATTTTAGATTTACTTTTGGAAATATCATAATATCATTTAAGGGGCAGACCTCGTCCTCTTCTTTCTCTGTCCTCCGATGTCGCTTCGATCTGATACGATATAGATCAAACATGTAATTGTTACCAATATTGTACATTTTTTCAAAAACCTGATATACCAAATATACAATTATTACCCGACATCTTCTCTAATAGAATTATTAAATTTTTCCGTCTCTTCGACAAGCTTTCTGAATTCTTTATCTTTTAATTTCTGTATGGATATTTAGATATTTTTTGTTACACGGTAAAATCATGATCGAACACGAGAAAAAAAATGCAAAATCCATATTTACCTTTAGGTCAATGAAATGTGAAAACAACTCTGAAAATTTATATACATATATATATAATGATTTAAATTACATACATAAGCATGCAATGAAATTAATTATCTTGCATACCCGAATGACCAAGCAGAAATTGAAAACGCTTTGCAGTATCCCTAATCTAATAATAAGTGAAATGTTAATAAGAACAAAATATGTAAAGATAAGTAAAATAAAACTACTCTTCACTTTATTCTGATTTAGATCTTTATTATCCTGTTCGAAAGTTAGTTTCTGAGTCTTCCTTTCCTTCCGAATGCTATCTTTTTTATATTCAACTGAATTTGTCGAGTCCTTTGAAAAATTTCAACATGGTTATGTTCAAAAGTAACGCGAAGTATTACAGACATCGAACGAAAGTATTGAAACACACCTCATTTTCCGACTCCACTTCAGACGTACTTGACACCCGGTCGGCTCTAACATCGGCCATTAAATTTTCGTCGGTGGGCGTCATAGCAGATGTGTGCTGCATTGTTTTTTTACAAATATAAGCGGGAAACGTAGAACGTTCGAGTTTAAAAGTTGGGAGATAAGAACTGGCGTACCACGGGTGTTTCCGATTGATCACTTTCCTGGGCCATGGGTACTTCAGGATTATCGCTTTCCTCAGACTTGGATAGCGCATTAGCTTCGTTTATGAGATCAATGTCCATAGTTTGTGACATCTTTGTTAGACGATTCAAGTAGTAAGAGTTACAGTTCAAAATCTCAAGTCGCGTACAAATATGTACGATCTACGCATAAATTTTACCAATCGTATCTTGTACTCCAAAATGGTACAGTTTATGAACGTGATAAATAATTAGCGCCACTATCGCGTTGAACGCGTGCAAAAATGCTAGTTTTCTTACGAATACTGTTACTTCTTTTTAGAATCTTCAAAATCGCTAAAGCTACGTTAGTTTAATACAATCTTGTAATTATGATAACTACAATTAAAATTAATTATTTTATAATCTCTTTAATTAGAATAATATTTAACCTTTCATTAATTGAATAAAAATTTAAAAATTACAATATATTTTTTTTTCAACTAGCAAGGTCTTGCTCAACATACTTTATTTAGTTTACATTTGTACTTCTTATTACAAGATTTACTATCTATAGACTATTCTAGATGCATGTTGTGCTATATTGATTTACTCCATATTGGCTTGTTGCTATTATGCTATTGACTTATTTTTCAGCATGTGTCAAGGTTAATGTTGTTATTATATGAGTAATAAAAATAAAAATTAATTATATTATTTTCCTGATCCAGTTAACTCTATAAATTTTTTCTGCAACTTTTTTGCTTTTCTTATTTTCTTCAATGGAGATCTGTATTACATTATATCCTTGAATTGAATATTGACTTGTTGTTTTTTTCTTTTTTATCTTTTTGATTATTTCTTCTTTTTTTCTTATTGTATATCTGTGATTTCAGAATTTATGAAATTCTTTTTATTATATGGTTTGTAATTGTTCTTAATATATCTTTAATTTTTTTTCATTAATTTATTTCACTAAGCTGATTAAATCTTTTTCATAAATATTTTTGATTATATATCTGATAATTTTTTTTAAGTTATTAATAATATGTATATATGAGTTGTTCTTTTCAATTGATTGTTTTTTTTTGTTTTTTTATTTTATTGAATATTTCTTCTTTTAATACTTATATATATGTAATTTTAATTTTGTTTTTGTAATATTTATTGAAGATATATTTTATGGTTTTTATTTTTTATACCAGGAGCATATCTTGTTTTTGTGTATATCAAATCTTTTTTTATTTAGTCTACTTTTAATGAAAAGCTTTTTATTAAGCAATTTATATTTAAATATTCTATTGTTTTTTTATTATTCCACAATCAAGTTGATGTCATTTATTTATTAAATTATAGAGAATTATTACACGTATGAGAATATATGCAAAGTACAAATTTCCCTAACCCAACTCATCCATCTTTAGTCAAAGTCTCTAGATGCAATTTATAGGATAGTGTATTGTTTACCTAAAGGATAGGATTAAGATCCCGAACTTCTGATAGGATCAGCACCTGCAGATTACCTCTACAGTTATGACCATAAATCCAAATTGTATCACCCCCTCTTATAGAAACTATACAAGAGAAAAAAAGAATAAAAAAAGGAATTTTTTAACAAAAAGAAAAAAAAAAAACTATTATCTATTCTAATTAACATTGAAAAGGTTATCTTAGTAAACTTAAAACCCAAGTCTCTTATGGTTTCTCACTTCTTACTACCTGTGACCAGTTAGATTGTTTAATTTCCAATGAAGTAGTCAATATTCAAGAATGTTTAAGAGCACTTCCAGGTAAAAATGGGACCCTAAATTAAAGGCAAGGATATAATTCAAATGTCCTTTACTATTAAAAAAGTTTTTTTTTAAATATAAGATCAAAACAGGATAGATATTGGTACTTCAACTTGTTACCAGATTAGAATAGAACCTAAACTTTATTAAAAAAAAAACACTAAATTGGAGAGGATATCAGCTAGATACAAATATTAAAGAATTCCTAAAAAATATACAAAACATCAAATGAATGGCAAACTGGATAACATAGAGAAGAAACAGAATATAGATTGAGTACAGAGATGAGCTACAAATAAACTGGCACTTTACCTGGAAAGCACAACATCAATCCAGAATAACTAAAATACATACAAGCCAAGAAGATCACACATATAAAAGAATTAGGTACAGATTATTAAATAGTGAACTTCCTATATTGAATAGGTTAGAAGAAAGAAGATTAGATATCTACAAATCAAACAAATGCCCAGAATACAAGGAAAAAGAAAGCCTAGAGCATTTAATGCACAAACACTGGCAATACAAGATAACAGATAAATACAAAAAAATAATAATAATAAAAACTGAAGAGTGTTAAAGAAATTGCAACAAAGGAAAAGAAAAAGAAGACTCAACTGAAAATATCATTAATTACGAACTTGAAGTGTATAAGAAACTATATAGTAAAAGGAATTCTGACTAAAGAGATAACATGATATATATACCAGTTTGCAAGGGAAAAAACAAAAAAAGTATGCAAAAGAATTGTGAAGAGAACAACAAAAGTAATTAATGAGCTATAGAAAAAAAGATATAAAGAAATCATAGAATGGGAAGAAATAAACAATATCAGCAGAGCAAATAAAAGAAAGCGAAGACACAGATCATATCAAACAGAAATCGAAAGAGATAGAAAAAAAAGAAATAATAGCAAATAGGAAAAAGAACCTGGAAAGAAAATTGCTGAAAAGATGAGTTAAAAACATAGACAAAATGACAAGAAAAAATTTTTATTTATTTATATACTAGTGACATTAACAATAGCAATGCCTTGGCATGTTAGTTTCAATCTCTATTCATTAGGAAAAGTTAATAGCAACAGCCGATATCTAGGAAACCTTGATATAGTTTAGCATACATTCATCAATTAATGTTATAACATAGTTTATATACAGAAATGTATATGAATATATGTAAATATTGACTTTAATAAAGTTTGCTAAGCAAGATTAAGCTAGTTTAAAAAAAAATAAAAATTAATTGATAAATATATACTAAACTATATTAAAACTTTTCTAGATATTAGCTGTTGCTATTAACTTTTTCTATTGAATAAAGATTAAAACTAATGTGCCAAGACATTGCTATTGTTAATGTCACTAGTATATAAATAAAAGAAATTGTTTCTTATCATTTTATTTATATTTTTGACTCATTTTTCTAACAATTTTCTTGTCAAATTTTTTTTTTGTTTATTGTTTTTTTCTTTTTTTCTTGTCATTTTTATTTAATATGTTTTGTGTTCTTGCTTTTTTTTTGTCCATTTTACTAATATTGTTTATCTCTTTCCATTTTATAATTTTTTTATATCTTTTTTTCTATAGTTTATTGATTACTTTTATTGTTCTTTCTATAATTCTTTTGCATACTTTTTTTGTTTTCTCTTTTATATACTAATATATATATTGTATTATATCTTTTGTTAGAATTCCTTTAACTATATGGTTTCTTATATACTTTAAATTGCTAATTAATGGCATTTTTGATTTTATGTTTTCTCTTTCTTTCTCTTTTTTTGAGTTTGTTTAACATTTTTCTGGTTCTTCTTTTATTATTTTCTTATATTCTTCTATGATTTTGTATTGTCAATACTTGTGTATTAGATAATCTAGACTTTCTGTTTCATTGTATTCTAGACATTTGTTTAATTTATAAATATCTGGTTTTCTTTTTGTTAATCTTTTTAATATAGAAAGTTTATTGTTTAATTGTCTATACCTGATTCTTCTATATGTATAGTCTTCTTAATTTGTATATATTTTGATTATTTTGAATTAGTATTGTACTTCTCAAATAAAGTACCAATCTATTTGTAGCTTATTTCTATATTTGATTTATATTCAGTTTTTTCTTTATATTATTCAGTTTGCTATCTATTTGGTGTTTTGCATATTTTTCAAGAATTCTTTAATACTTGTGTCTAGTTGATATTCTCTCCATTTTAGTATTTCCCATGTTGCTACTATTGGGTTGACTATTATAATTGCTTTGTCTCCTTTATTTACTTTTTCTCTTACCAAATTATTTATTTTTTTATTGTTCTTCTCTCCTTAGTATATTCTAATCTTAATAAATATTGTTTATCCCTATCTTTCTTTGATAATTTTTTGAATCAGAGTTTTTGTTATTCAATTTGTACTTTTATATATTTGATAGCTTTCTTTGTTATCTTTTTGAATCCCTTAAATAGCTACCTGGCTGTCTGTATATATTTCAACTTTTGCTAATACTGAAATTGTGATCAGCATAATTAAAATTACTATCAATTCTGCTCTTGTTAATGATAAGAAGTACTTTGTATACCTTGTATATACTAATTGTTCTTCTGTTTCTTAATTGGTTATATGCCATTCCATTTTTATCTTAATTTGGTTTGTTACTTTCTGAATCATTAAGTTATCTGTATATGTTTTTATTTTTTTTTAGTTTTTAGTTTATTTAGTTATCCTGATTAGTTCTTCTTTGTTTGAACTACTAGTTCATAGGTATTTTATAATTTTATCTTCTATTTCTATCTATTTTCTACTAATTATAATACTAACTCTAGTTTGAATCTTGTTTTCTAGGTTTTGTATGTTGTGTATTATACATGTTGCTAAAATTTGTAGATCCTTGACGCAATTGACGCAATTATTTGATGTAATTAATTGAGTCACTATTAAAACATATAAATAATTGAGTCATAACGCAATTATTTTTGAGAATTTTGGAAATTGAGTCAACAGCAAAATAATTTATGCAATATGTATATTGTGCATTATTGTGTCTAATAATGTTTGTATTTTGTTAAAATATTCTAGATCTGATTATAAAACTTTGCACTGTATATGATTTTGATTACTAAGATGATAATTGCTTGGTTTATTTTTATTTCTCCAATACACATCTTTTTTATGTTTTCTTTATAATCACATCCTTAATATTTGACTATAAGTAAATTATCTTCTATTTGTTGCATATATTGTACTCTGACTTTGTTATTTCTTATTTTATATCTATAGTCTATTCTTTCAAGATATATTTATTAATTTATCATATATGCCAGGTATATTTGCTTTTGGATATTATAACTTTTTACTGCTT